AAAATGAATTACAATCAGTTCAGATCGTAAAATAATTTTCTGGCTATGCGAAATTTCTTTTGGGAATAACTTAGATGAATGATTTATGCGGACTGATATCAACGAATGTCTAAAAACCACTGTCTCTCAGCGAAAATACGAATCAACTCGTATACTGCAGATGACTGTTGAAAATTCCCAGACCCTAAAAATGACAAACTAGGGTTTTTTTTTACAAGTGCCTATGTGGTGATCCGGCCTACGGAATGACGCGTACCCTGGAGCGATCCGTTACAGCTTTTGGACAACTGCGATCAATCAAACTTCACGTGTGACGTCAACAACGAGCGTACGTGTCACTGCTTCTGACTACATACCATAGGTAGATCACCCCAGCCAATCACAGACTGTGCGGCCCAGACAGAAGTAGAACGATCCCAGGATTGCTGGAACGCGATTGAAAAGAGCCTGGGTAACCAATGAGCATACTTTGTACATATTATTTAATCCCCTTTATTTCTTCCAATAAACGAATTACGATTCCTGTGGCCTTTCCTCGCGTCCCTGTTACGTGGGATATTGCGTGCTAGTGCCAGTGGGGTCCAGTACTTACGTGATCCATTCTGTGATTTATAATCCTTGATTCGTATTCCGTGATCCATTTTGCGTGGTTCGTATTCCGAGTTCAGTGCGTATTACCACTACTAAAATCACTACAGCCTACTTTGTATATTTATGTCAGTTGAAGTTCCGCAAATCGGGAAAACAGCAGCCGTCAAGGTAGGTATGTTTCATGACCCGACTTTAATTCCCCAAGAATTGTTTCAAACGTTTCATTAGTCTCACAGAACACATTGAGAACAACAGCGTGACGAACAAGTTCGTTTCCAGTTATGCTTAATCGTGTCATTACATGACATTATATACAACTAATAACAAGAACCAACGGGGATTGAAAGATTCGAGTCCTAATGGTTCCATAAGGACTGTAATCTCTCATTCCGTTGGTTCTTGTTGTTAGTCATATTCAATGTTATGTAATGGTATGATTAAGAATAATTGAAAATGAGCTTGTTCGCCACGCTTTTCCAAAGTTACCGTTTTGCCAGGGGACCCGTCCGATGGTGCAGTACCTTCTGCAATATAGCGAGAAACGACGGTACCTGTAAAGAATTTCAATTATTTTATTTGATACAAACGGTACGTGGATATTATGTGTAGTTTTGATGACAATATCGTCAGATTACTACAGCTCTCTTGCTGAGAAAAATTTGTCGCTTAAAACAAAAGTTCATAAACTGATTGTAATTTCTGAATGTTTCGCCCGCCAGGCCGGAGTCGACGATTTGAGCAACTGGGTGATACGACTGCGAATAGTAAACAGTGGATCTCATAAATCCACTTCATTTCTTTGAAATCTTAGTCTATCTGAATTCACTGCCTTCACCTCCGTCGAATTGACAGTTATAAGACAGCAACCAAACCGTCGCACTAAATAGCACGATCAATATTGTATTGTATTGTAATAACTTCTGCAAGCATGAAGCCCACATTTCAGTTAAAAAATACACAGTTCGGAGCAAGAGGGAAAATGAAAATAACAATGAAAAAAAGAGCTTTTAAGTTCCAAAACTGTCAACAAATTCTGTGAAAACCTGCTCTTTGGTAACCAGAATACGTGCTAATGAGGGTACTGTGGAGTTTATTCTAGGGGGAACACAACGATATTGTAATCTAGTTGAGGGATGGGAACAACAGGAAGTAAGAACAGCGTGTAGCGAATGTGTGGAGTTGATGAGAATCTCATGCGCAAGCTTTTCACATGCATTCAAATGACGTTAGCATAGGTTAGTTATCAATTCCTTTAGTGGGATTGGAGATACACGGTTAATGATCAATCCACGTCGAAGCAAATTAAGATCTTTCTTAAGGAAGTTGGGAAAAATAACAGGTGAACAATAACGTAGAACAGGGAAAATACACTGATACACAAAGTTGGAAATGATTGATTGTGGAATGCGAAACTGACGAAGTTTACGGACATGAAAAGAAAGTCGTCGAAGATTACTGACGATGTGTTGAATGTGAGAGGTCCACTGAAGATTAGTATCAATGAAAACGCCCAGGTATTTAATACAGTTTACCTGGGATGCTGGCTCGGAACCAATGGATACCGGTTCAGATGGGAAAGAGCATGATAGTGTAAAGAGACATTCGAAACATTTGGAGGGATTAAGAGATAGGCCCGATGTGGAGGCAAACCGTTGGACGTTATCCAATTTGTCAGAAAATTGTGAAAGACCAGAGGAGTCAGAGATGGCCTGACACAAGACCACATAGTCAGCATACTTGAAGAGAGAAATAGGGGCGCAAGCAGACGAGTCACTAATATACGGGGAAAGAACTGCACCTTGGAGTACCCCAGAGTTGTTCAACAACGGTTTGGATTTCTTTCGACCTAGCCTAGTACACTGAGTTATCCCGGAGAAGTAATCGACAAGCCAAGCTAACACCGTCTAGGACAACCAAAGGTCTCTAGTTTATGAAGAAGGGAACGGGAATAGAATCAAAAGCAGATGAGTAGTCCAGAAACACAACGGACAGATTTCGCAGTTATTCAAGGATTTGGTAATTTTATGAAAAAGAGAGGAAACTGCATCCAGCGTGCCTGTTTGATTTATAACTAAACCGAAGAGGATCACATGGGACTTCAATGGAGGACTGAATGCGCTTAAGAACAACACGTTTCTGCTAGCTTAAGTCCAACAGAGGTTAAAACAATAGGACGAAAGTGTTTGGTTAGAACGTTTGAAGTAGAGGATTTGGGAATGGGAACAATTGTTACTGGTTTTCAACAGTCTGGTATTGTGCAGAGAGAATAGGCCCATATCTCAGAAGGAAAGATGAAAGACCGTCGGGACCAACACTGCACGTGGTTTTCACGGTACGCAAAAGCTCGAGTTTTTTTCTTTCGAGACGGCCTCAACTTGAACGGCATCGTCTAGAACAAATAGCGTGATCGCATCGCTTGATGGGTGGATAAATGATGCATTAACACTGTCCAAATCCGTTGTACAATCCGACGTTTTGGATTTGGTCCCACACAGCAATTTGATACCTTGCCAAATTCGCTTACTTTTGTTACATAGCAGAAGCTGGGAGGCGTTCGATTTCAGCTTTGATCAAGTAGGTGTAATGCTTGACAGCCGCTGAGTCTCTAGATATGTACGATCGTTCCTTCCGTCTTCTGAATGATTTCAGCAGTGAAGATGTTATACTGCCGTTACAAACAAACAGTTTCAAAAGGGCAGCATAGGTTAAACGTGTGGTGTTTCAGTGAATAAGTTGACTCCATTGCGTAGATAGATATGAAGAAAACCACGAAGAAACGACACTGATGGAACGCTTAAGAAGAAGGGTGTTTCTTGGGGAGAGATTGCGAAGACGAATAATTATTTGATTGGTTATTGTGAATGGGACGGGAGTAGACTGTTGGTCTTATCAGAATCAGTGCATGATCACTAGTGGAAATAGGTGGTGTGAGTTTTAGGGTTAAATGCTCTGGGTGATTAATAATAAACTTGTCTAAAAATGAATCACCTCTTGCGGAGGACAAGCAAATATCAGTTAAGCCAAAAGAAGTTATGGGATAGGTGGATACATCATTAAAGTCACCAACAATGATGTGGAGACTATCGTCTATGAGGGGAAAGAAAGACGGAATAAATGCATCAAGGAAAAATGAAATGTGAGACTGGGTAAACCAAAACCTAACTGCCAGAATGGTTGATTACAACGAGCCATATTCCATCAGAAAACAAGGCTATACACTCACAAAGTTCCACCAAGTAGCGAAAAATGCATTTCTTCTCTTGGCCAATTGCGTAGTAAAACTGTGCTCAGCAGAGACAATAAATAACGAATTATAACGAGCTAAGGGTTTTTTCCGTATAACAGATATTCAGAGCCATTTGTTCATTGATAAAAACAGAACCTACTGTACAAACGTGATTAAGGGAAAAGTTTACGTTTTCATACCATTCAAAGGTGACCGCATCTCTGAATTAGGCACGCCTATTTCATCACCGAACCTTGTATTTTGTCGAACTCAAAAGCATGTGTTCTTTTGCATAAAAAGGAGCTACCACCCTAGGATACGATATTCTTAGGCATTGATCAACTCAACTGCCCTGTCGGAACAAACTAGGCGTCTGGAATCATCAATAGTTTGTCCGATTGCGTTAGAGAGCACCATCCTCATCGACCGGGACCGGTATGACTGCAGTCACCGTTCGTTTGGTCGACCTCGGGCACGCAATGTGCATTAATGTTTACGACCAATCCACACGAGCAGACAATTTTCTTATATACTTTGATAAGTAATGCATACTGCTAACTCATAGCATCGTCATCATCGTACAGCGAAATAAAGCGAAGCGAACTTCACTGATCGCTGCCGTAACTCATAACTTGCAATTGATCCGCTTGAGTTGGATTCATTTCTCTTTCTCGTTTTTTTTCCAACTGCGAACTTTCATATCTGCTCATTATGACTACTATAACTATTTAATGTCGGGTTGCTCCTTATAACAATAAGGATATATTTCATGTTTGTGTAGCAAAGCTTCAGTTGACTTGGCGTTTACCCAGGTCGCGGACAGACGAATGTCCACCAATTTGGTGACTCACCGTGAATTCGACAAGATCACTGACGAATAAATGACATCTATGGGATCTTCACTCGATTCATTTAGTTGTTCTAAAGGAAAAAAATAACACGACCAGCCAAGATAAACCTTATAGAGAGATGATAAGATGTGTGATTTACCATTGGTACGTTAAGATAAACTCCGACCTTTCAGGTTAAAAACAGCACCAAGAGAACAATCATGTTATTTTTTCGGGCAATTTACAGAGGAGCAAAAGGCATGGAACGTAGCCTTGTTCGAATATAGTTGGACAGCACAGCCTCAAGTAGGGTTAAAAAAAGGAAATATAAATGTCTCCTGGTCATGTTGAGTTCATACATAAACGGCGTCACCAGGTGGCTTGACGTAGCCAGCCAAGATAAGAATGAAATCTACTACACTCCAAATGCCTAATCCACCGAAGCTTAACAGTTTGCCCAAGCCTTCCATCCACATCCCCAAGTAGAAACGATCCACACCAAGTCCGCCGAGAAACAGGCTCAAAAAGACGGTAGTCACATAACGCTTACCATTGGACCAGTTACATGGTAACATTCTACGAAATACTCGCCGACCCATACACAACACGTGTGGTTTTGGTTCACACAGGGTCTCATAGAAGCTGCGAGGAACCTCTGGTTGACGACAATAGGTACGACCAATACAAGTCATTTCGGTTTCCGGGATTTGATGACAAAAGCGGCAAACGAACTGTTTATGCACAGTGTGGTTTGTGTATAGCGTTGTATCATTGTCCGACGTTGCATCATTCATGTCAAGTGCATCCGTAGAATTTGGATTAGGACGGCACAGGACTCCATCAGCAGGTCGACAAGTAACGTTCACTAAGGCCCCATACCAACAAGAGGGATCAAAATTACATTTCAAACAGTAAGCTGGTAGATCAGAACACGCGAACAGCATTGGTGGGCAGAGTAGACGGGTGCGAGCGGCTTCTCCAGACAGAAGAACTGAGCCATTTCGATCATTTGTGCCGGGCTGTCTGGTTGGCACGTCGAACTCAGCCTCGGTGCTAGAAGTCTGTCCGGCTATAAAGAACGGAAAAATACCAATAGCAGTCGCCAAGAGTACCACCACATCCGGCAGTCCCACGCGTGGTCGACAGTTTGTCAGCTATAAGGAAAAAAAAGAAACAATTGTGGCAGTTGTAATCGTAGGAAAATGAGAACGTTTTGTGGGTGGATTGCAAATTATTGGACCTCATTATTTTTTTAGTCAACCCCAAGAAACCGTTTCGTTTTCCATTCGGTTCTGCTATGGCTTCACACCTTGTTATTAGATCGATATCTTTTTTAATTGTTTTATTACACACGAATTGATTTACAGCAAGAGGTAAACCCCATAATCAATGATATACTGTAAAGGGAAGGTATCTGGGGGCATATTCAAGTAAGAAACAATTCGCCGATCCTGCTTTTGAAAAGGGTAAGGTTTATAACCTTACCCTGGGAAACACGGAGACAGGTGTGTTCCACAATTTCGCAGTCCACGCGAAAAAAGATTGAAAGATAGAAGTTCGACATATGGGGACAGAAACCTTAACAGAGTGACTGGTCGCCTGAGAACGAGACGGACGAGAGAAGGTCAATGGAAGGGGAACCGCTGAAGTGAGTTCGGAAGAGCAGAAACCAAAATAATAACGATAGAAAAGAGACAACGAAGCAACTACCCAGCAATGGGAAGGCGACTGCAAGGTGGAAGATGGCGTAAAAAATGCACAGAGGGATTAGGTAGAGTAGGTGTCTCTCGTCTTCCGGGTTGGGGTTCAAAAGACTCCGGAACCGCATGGTTGGAGATACTGAAGGTCATGGCTGCAAACCGACAGCAATGGCGATCAACCTACCACTTCTTATCAATCCAGAATGCTTGAACTAGTATGTATGCACAGTTGGACTGTGTACTCTGTGTTGATCATAGACGTTCACTTTCTTTTCCCGTCCCTAAAAATAGGCCCAATCCCTGTCCTCCTT